TCTTGAAAAACACGCATGGGAGAAAAGCCAAGCCTTGAGCGGCGGATGGGTGACTTTAGATTCCCGCCTTCTCCCAGCTGGGCGTGGGAGCAGGAGGCGTGGTGGGGTGGTTTTGCGGGAGTGGATTTGGGGAGCTTCCCCCTGGAAGAACCAGTAAGTGACCAGCTAATTTGGTTAGGGTCTGTCCTGGTGGCTGAGCAAATCCCAAAAGAGACCGAGCCTAGCGAGGAGGTGATAGGGAAACCGGAAACCTCAGATGTTACGGAAGGAGTGTGGCTTTGAATGGTCTGAGCTCCGCGCTCCAGATTGGCTCGGAGAGTTGTCCGAGGTCACCCCCACGCGCCCCCGCCGCAGGCAGCCCAGGACCCGGTTCGCATGCCCGTTACCCGCTCCATTGCAAACTGGCCACGGAATCCTTTCCTCCAGGGGCTCAGACGACAACCTCATTACATGTCTGCCATAGTCATGGGCTTCGGTGTAAATAAAACCTGCTGTTCCCTCTTCTCCAATATTGTCACCTAAACCCACTTCAAGGACATGTACAAAGGGAACAAAGGGGTTCTCCCTACACTCCAATTTTTCTAGTCCACTTATATTTATGGTACGGTTCTATTTCTTTCTCTCCCCTTCTGAATACACCTGTCTTTTTTTTTTTTTTTTTTTTTTTAATGTTAAGAATAGTCTCATGATAGGGAGAAACGCATCCTTCTTCCTTTAGCAGACTTTGGGCGACTGCAGACCACGTGCGGGGCAGAGCGCTGAGCTCAGTGGTGAATTCAGCCCTCTGCGAACGTTCTGTCTACGGAGGAGATAGAGGGCACACCAAGGATCAGCCCTCCAACTTAGAATGCCACAGGGAGGTAGAGATAGGCTGTTTGGGTTATCCAGAAAAAGGGAGAGATTACCGCAAGTGTGGGCAGAGGAGTAAAATGTTGAATCGTGGAAAAGGCTTAAAGGACAGAAGAAATTTGCACAGGTGGAGATGGGTGCATGGGTTACGGGTTGTAAGTGAAAAGTCATTTCAGGTTGGATGAAAATTCCTGGTGTTTTTGTTTTCCTTTTCCTTTTTTTTTTTTTTTTTGGTTGGGGGAGGCAGGGATCCTCCTTTATTTGTGGAGAGAGAGAGAGCACTCATGCAAGGGTGGTGTGCGGGCAGAGGGAGAGGGAGAAGAGAGAAAGGGAATCCCAAGCTGACTTCCTGCTGAGCATGGGCCTGCTGAGGGGCTCGATCTCACGACCCTGAGATCAGGACCTCAACCAAAATCCAGAGTTCCATGCTTAACCGACTGAGCCACCCAGGCGCCCCTACCTGAATGCTTTTCCGATACCTGATGCACACACATTTCCCTTGACTCCCCGGGGGTTCAGAAACCCCATGTGCATTCAAACCGCTGTTTGGTTGAGTCCGTGGGGGGAGTCTGGTGACACTAGTGGGCACCTGGTTTGCTCTCCTTTCCTGCCCCCCTTCCCTTCCCTCTCAGTGGCCAGTGGTCCACCTGCTGTGGCAGTGTGAGAACCACGAAGGGGACAGGTGGCTGCTCAGTGGAGCAGGCCCCGTGCAGCGAGGTCTATTGCCGAGAAGGCTGCCGGGATGGCCTTCATGCCCGGTTTCTGTCTGGTGACCTGAGAGTGGTCTCCCTGAGGCCTCTGCCGTCCACCCAGTGGACCTGAGCTCAGGACCTGAGCATGCAGGCAGCCGGGGAAGAAGGAGGCCAGGCCTCCAAGCTCCTACTGCCCCTGCCGGGCTGCACTCACCTAGCCTTGCCCCTCCTGGCTGGTTCATTCTCTCCATTGCGCAAATCCTCTTCCTTTTCTTCTTAAAATATGCTGCCTGCCCAGGCCTCCCCCGACCTTTCCCGCAAAGTTACATTCCAACACACTCATCTGTGGAGTTCCCCTGAAGTCAGGTTTCGCTTAGGAGAGTCCACTGTGGGAGAAGGGGAAGGGCCGATCCCTCAACAACCCGCCTTCCTACTGGTTTGCTAAGACCCAGCTTCTGGCAGGACAGGCAGGGGGCCCTCCTCCAAAGCTTGGTTTTCATTCCACGGTAAAACACAGCTGTTAAAAAAAAAATAAATAATTCAAACATGAGTGGTCACAGAGGTTCTATTTGGGGTAAAAAGCTTTGGACACGGTGGTGATAATTAATGTAATTAATGTAATTAGTGCCACTGAGTCGTGCACCTCAAAATGGTGAAAATTGTAAATGGTATGTTATGTATATATTTTACCACAACAAAAAGATTGCAAAAAATATATATGTATACGATATGAACCGTGGCCGGTTAACATTGTTTTCCCTCTGATCTTCCAACCATTGACCTGATGGAGAGAAAATTGCTCCACACTTGTAGTGGAGAAGGCCCTTTGCCTGTCAGGAGTCCCCTGGGGGCAAGGAGCAGGGCTGAAGCTTGGGCTGCTCCCCAGTGAGGCTCCCTGGGCCCCTTCCCCTCAGGGGCAACGGCAACCACACTTCACAGCCCTTCCCCAGCAAATAACACAGCCACCCTGGGCGTGAACTCTGACGGAGGCATCATGGCGGACGCCCTGTTAGTGTAGAAGTAGGAGGGGAGAAGAAGCTGGTAGATTTTGGTGTTGAAAATGGACATTTGAGGAAATAATAAGGAGCATTCACTCTTAAATCCATGCCCGGCTGCCCCCTCCTTGGGTGAATAACAGAGGATTCTGTGGGATTTCTATTTCAAATTCCTCATTTATTTGGACATTCACTTGGTTGTGACTCCAAGTTATCAAAGATGCAGGATGGGAAATCTGTAGCGGGAGCAGTGACGTGGAGGCAGAGACAAGATGCCGGAGAGGACAGGGCCTCCCTAGCCTCTCCTTCTCTTCCTGTTAGGGTACGATCTGAAAAGTGTCCAGATAGTGTCCCATAGCACAGACACCACAGCAAGAGCGTGCAGCGCAGCTGAATGGGTGAGCTTCCTCTTCCATGGGTAAGGCCCTCCCTGCGACAGGGAGGCGGACAGGCAATCTGGAGATCGTGCCCCATGCACTGTGGGGGTGTGTAGGGGAGAGCTGTGGCCCATCACCTCTCCAGTGCCCCAAACCCAGATTTCACGTGTAGGGTGACAAGATCTCGGCTGGGAAAGCTATGGGAGGAGAGGGGACTCTATAAGATGCTTTTCCCTCAGGGACCCCGTAGATCAGAACCAGAAGCAGATGAGAGCTGACTGGACGGTCTTGATTTCTTCAAAGGAAGGAGGAACAACGATACTATGGTTTTGTGAGGAGCAACGGCCCTTGCTGTGGTGACTGGCTGTGGAATTCCCGGGCAGCAAGGCACAAGGGCTGGTCATCAGGAGGTCACAATGGCTGTCAGACCCAGCAACTCATGTCAAGTGGGGAGTGGGCTTGGCCCAATAAGGACTGGTGATGAGATGGCGTGTGTTAAAGTTGTTGTCCTACACTGGTCCGTCTGGACTGGGAGACAGACCTCATGACCTCCTGCCTAGAACTGCCTCCTGGTATAAGGACGTCTGAGATCACCCAGGGGGAGAATCAGACAAACGTGTTTGCTTTTCACTGCACAATTAAAATTGTTTTGCCTGCTGACCCTGTATTTCAAGGTGCTGGCTTAGTCCTCAGTCCACGTCCCCGAGCACTGGATCAGGCCGTTGGCAGGTGCATCTGGCTACTTCCAGGACTCAGGCAAAGAGGAGCCGCGTGGTTGGCAGAACTCTTCAGGAAGTCCTGGCTGTTTCTTAGTGTCCATCTGGGCAGGTCTCCTTTTCCTGGAGAACATGGGCTCTCAGAGAAGATAAATGACTGTTCCTAGAGCCAATGAATGACCTCAGTGTGACCAGACCCCAGGTCCGCTCATCCTCACCCAGTGGGTCCTAATGACAGCTGAGATGCAAGGTGACAGGTTCCAGACAGAGGAAACAAGAGGTGTGGTGAAGGCTCCCCCTTCTCCCCCTCTCCCAGCTGCGCCCAGCTTTTCTCAATAGCTCCTTCCCTCCCCACCCTCTGCAGCAGGCTGTGATTCAGAAGCGCCAGGGGTTAGGCGTGCCCTGAGAAGGGGGAGCAGGACCCCTAAGTTTAGAGGCAACTGGAAAACTCATCAGGTATGTTCCCTCAGGCCACAGAGGAGTTCTAAGTGGGAACTGAGGGCCAGGCTCAGGCAATTAACAGGCTTTCACTGGAGCCTGGGGGGCTGGGGGAGTCCAGTGGAGGGAGGGCAGTGAGCATAGAATCGGGGGGGGGGGTTGCTGTCCCCAGGGCAATGAAGTCGTCCAGTCCTATGACAATGTAGCTGGGTGCCTGAGTAGAGCGCTGGGCCTCTGAAGGGGGTGGGGGGCTTCACGGCTGCAGCACTGTCCCTGAGAGACTGCAGGCCCTCCCCATACCCGCCAGCTGCTTGCTAGGGGACTAGCCACGTCAGTCACCTTTCCCTCACGCTGTCTGAGGTCAGATTTCCCTTTCTAGTCCATGCATCAGAGCCCTTCCACTCCGGGGCTCCCAGAGGTGGCACAGCGCCCCGCCCCGTGATGTGTGCAGGTGGTGACAGGTGTGCGCCTACCTGAGAACACACACACCCTCGCAGCACTGCTCCCCCACTGCTCAGGGTGGCCAACCCGGGCCCCAGAGACATTCAGCAAGAAGGTCTCACTCGCCCAGCTGTTCAAACTCAGTAACAAAACTTCAACAAGGTTCTCCAACAGTGGCAGCTGGTTCCAGAGGCAGAAAAGGAGGACTGGGGTGGGTGGGGAGGGGAGACAAGGTTAGGCTTCCCTTTTTTCGTGCATTCCCCACAAAGAACCTTACACCATGGCCTTCCAAGTCCACTCAGGGTGTCCCACGAGGAAGGGGAACATAGCAGGTTCCAGAATCAATGTCCACATTGGAACAGCGGCAGGGACCACAGTCCCCATGATCACCAAATACAAAACTGGCTTGGGACCTGGGTCTCGGTGTTGTTGCAGCAAGCAGGTCCTGAAGAGATCCCCTGAACACCTTCCGTCCCCTTCTCAGACGCTGCCGTGCCCTACTTCTCACATCTCTCCTCACCCCAGGTCCCCTTTCTTCTTCCATCCCTCAAGGAGTCTTGGGGTGGAGGCAGCCTTCACTTAGCTTTCTCTGCTGCTTGTCCTCTCACAGTCCAAAGCTGGGTGGGGAGCAAGGGAAGCAAGAGGGGTTGCAGTGGGGCTGGTGCTGGCGGAGGAAGGTTCAGGCACAGAAAGAGGCCCAGCTGCCCACTTGTCCTGCCAGCCCCCACCTGCGGGCCACAGGGCCTGGCCCTGCCCTGGTTCTCAATGCACTGGGCAGCTCTAATTCCACTGTGGGGCAAGAAAAGCCAAAACAACCAACAAACAACACTGAGATGTCCTTGTGGGCTGTTGGAGGGGTCCCCCGCTGCTCCCTGGTGTTCCTGCCAGGACAGCAGCGGGACAGCAGCATGGGTAGGTATGTGGAGGGGTCAGGGGTGAAGGGGGTTACACGTCTGTACTAATAGCCCTTGGATTGGTGAAGGCCTCACGCCCAGAACCTGGCCACGTCACCGGGTAACTCTGGGGCACTGCCAACTTGAGGGGCAGGGGTCCCCCTTCCTTGTAGTACGTAGGAGCAAAGGAGAGCCTCTCCCCTCCGCCCCCATTGGGCACCATGTCAGCGGTCCGTATGTAAAAGGGGGAGCTGTACGGGGAGCAGGCGGTGCAGTGGCCGGCCGCCCCCCCGCACGGCTGGCCACAGGGCTCGCTGGTGAGAGGCGCCAGGCCGCCTCGGCCGTCGGGGGCTTGAGAGCTGCAGGCATTACAGCTGGGGCCTCTGGGGTGTGGGGGCAGGTCGCGATCCTCCTCCTCCTCATCTGCATCTCCGGCTCTGCTCTTCTTGCAGCAGTAGTACTGAGGGGACAGTGGGGAGGGACGCTTGAGGGCCAAGGCTCCCCTTGCGGGGCACAAAGGCGCCCATGCCCCTGTCCACCAAGGACACTGCACAGAGCGCTTTTTGATGACTAAAACTCAGCACCAGACACCCACGTCCCACCAGCACATACTCCCAGCCTTGCCAAACCAATACCTTCCCTTTTCCTTCCCCCTACTTCATAGCGTTCCCTGCAGGCTGAGGTCGAGAGAGGCAGGACCTCCGTGTCTACTGAGGACAGGGGTGGGGCCACAGTTCCCCCAGAGGGGTACCCTTCCCACCACTCCTGACATCTCAGCTATGCCGGAGACACAACACAGTGACCAGCTGTCTTCCCAGCACAGTCTCTTTGGGGAAACCCCTGAAGTGGACAGAGTGTGAGAGACACATGGCTCCCGTCTGGCTACCCTCGATTCCCAGCCCCCCACACTTCCTGGCTTTGAGGTTTGTCACCCTGGAAGTGGGTCCAGTTTCTGCCACTAGAATGGGGACGTGGTTTGCCGATGGCCTCTGGTGACTGACCTGGAGCCTACAGTAGCACAAGACGGCGATGATGCAGAGGAGGATGACTGTAGCTAGGATTCCGCCAGTGATCACAACTGTTCCCGCTGTCATCCGCCCGACACCCCATCAAACTCTGCAAAGACATGCGAGCACAGGGAGGTGAGGAGCCGCCACACTGTGCGCAGGGGAGGGGGAGGGCGGAGAGGCCTCCTGGGACTTCCTGCATAGGTGGAGGCAGGGAGGACCTGAGGGCAACTGGGCGAGAAGGGCCACGGGCACTGAGACACTGGGGACTTCCTGAAGGCAGAGAGAGGCTGCAGCCTGGGCCAGGCTAACCTGGGGGGTGAGGGTTGGGGATTGGGGGGGGTCACAGATGAGCAAGGGAAGAGCGGAAGCAGAGCACTAATGGAGAGCATAATTCCGCTCTTGGCCTCTGCTCAGTTTCAAAGCTTGCCGTGCCTCTCTCTAATTCTCCTCGCATCCTACTCGGCCTGGCCTCACCTCGTGGCTCCATCCAAGACACAAAGATGACAGCTTCCTTTCCTGGGGGCTTAGCCTGTGGCACTTCCCTAAGCTCTCCCCGCTCCTCTCAGGTAACCCTCAAAATACCTTTTGGGACAGTTCGTTATTACCCCTGCGTCACTCACGACGAACTGTGGCTTCCACTGGTTTGGCTGAGGTTCTGCCCAGCCTGGCTCACCCCGAGGCCACACTCTCAATCACACAAAGAGCAGTGGCCCCCCGAGCCCCAGACTCAGGTGGAGGGGACAGGGGCCAAATCTCCCAAGTTCCACCTGGTTCTACCCTGACTCCAACCCACACTCCTTTGGGGGCATCTCTGTCCTCTTTCCAACTCCTGTGCAAGACAAGGGCAAGGTGAACCCAGAGGGAGTGGGCAACAGGCAGCATTCTGGCCCCCAGACCGTGGGGGCGAGGTTGAGAACGGTCCCGCTAATGCGGGTGAAGCTCCGCCCCCCGGGCACGTGGGGACAAGGCTGGTGGTGCCCCTGCAGCGGGAGGGCGGGAGGAGCCTTGGCATCTTGAGGAAGAATGACCGTGAGCACTTACGTTCAGTGACGGGAACAGAGACCTGCAAGACAGTAACAGGAACAGAGCTATTGGGAGAAGACTGTTGCCCCTGAAAAAGGGCCCAAGGGTTAGACTAGTCCGCAAGCCCCCCTCCCTACCGCCCGCACTCTGTCCTGGTCACTGGGAGCGTCACCGACAAGCCCGCAGCTCCCAAGTCAGCCTCCCCTGTGCCTCCCGCTGCGGCCTGAAGGACATTTCACTCAGGTGTCCCCCTGGGATGTCCAACTCTGGTACCTGATGTGACAGCCTAAATCATCACCCTCTTTCCAGGTGGGCACTCCCCCCGCCTCCCCTTCTCCCCTCGCCCCCCCCCACCCCCCATTCGTGCTTCTGCCAGAGGAGGCTGCTCATTACTCAGAGGCCAAGCGGGGCTGGAAGGGGAGCGGCCGTCCACGCCGGAAGCCGTAGGTCCTGCTGTGTCCACCTCGAGGAGGGGCACCTTGTTCTTCACTCAGACACCATCTGCCGCTTGCCATCCTCACGCACCCCGCCACGCTTTGCCTGCCCCGCGTGCCGGCATGCTCACCCCCTGCCGTCCCCCTACATGAATCATCTCTCCACCAGGCAGGCCCAGTTCTTAGGAGGCTCCGGGCCTAGGGTTGACAAGGCACTTTAACGTACCTTGTGGTACGGCCTAAGACACACAGAGCAGGGGCTGCGGGGGCACCGAGCAGGGAGCGACTCACTACTTGGGAAAGGTTCCTGGAAATGGTTTCGCTGGAGCTGGGTGCTAGAAGCTGAGTGGGAGCTTGACCCGTAGGTAGACAAGGGAAGAGGGCAGACTCAACAGCCCAGGTGCGTGAGAGACCATGAGGGCCTCCAGGAGCTGTAAGGACTCTGCAAAGGCCAGGTAGGGTAGGCACCAAGTGGGAGAGGCTGGGAGCCAGGCAAGGATTGGCATCCCACTCTCTCGGAGGCCACAGGCGTTCCTGAGGGGCTGCTGGTAGCAGAGTTCATGAGCCTGCTTTCTCTACCTGTTTAGATCCTGCCCACCCTCCAGTGCTCTGAGAGACCCCCTGGATCCCCCATCGTGGTGCTCTCTCTCTCTCTTTCTTTGGATTCCCACTTCAAAGTCTTTCCATGGGCCACTTTCCAAACTCTCACTTGGTAGGATGCTTGTTCGCTTTCACGTGGGAACATCTTGACTCCTCGGGTACATGAGAAGTCCTGTGGGATCAGGAGCTGTGTCCGATCGGGCTCCTACCCCTGCAGTGTTATATATGGCGCGTGCTTGATGAACGTGTGTTTGCTAATCCTGGGCCAGATATAGGACATCCTTCGCCGGCCTGACAGTGATGATCCTGACTGAAACCACCGGGGGGCAGCAAGTTGCATGGCTCAGCTCCCATCCCGTCTCACAGACCGGAGCGTCCCTGTTCAAGTCCAATTTGACTGACTTTGCCCAGATGCATGGTGGGCCACGCTTCCGGGATTTGCTGGGCATTTGGGGGGGCGTGATAGGGGGCGGGTGATGAACCTCAGCCTTGAGAGAATGTATGTTCCCTCATGACAATGTGACTGCACTTGACCCTGCTTGCTCAGACACTCACCACGGAGGGCCGTTTGAGCCAAGAGAGGCCTGTGGAGTGACCTGAAGCGGAAGGCAGCAGTGATTCACTCTACCTGCAAGTCTTGGCCTCGCCCCCTGAGATGTTAGCCTGTTTTAGGATACAGGGAGTGAGGAAGCTATATAAGAACACAGCCCTCCCTCCTTCTGACCTCCACGCCTGGCCTCCCTTCTTTGGGTACCATGCAGCGGTTCCACAGAAGTGGCTGGAAAATGGGGGGGGGCATGGCAGAGGCACACATCTGAAGGCCCATCGGAGGCCCAGCTGTGCCATTTAGCAGCTACCCCATCTTGGAGGCTGACCTCCTTTCTCACTTGCGAAAGAAAGCTTAACAAAAAAACTCAGCTTACCAGTGTGCTTGTGAGGGAAAAGTGAGAGTCACGTATGCAAGAGTCCCTTGGGGACTCTAAGAGAGTCCTTCAAACAGAGTCATTTGCGGGGGAAAAGGACCGCCCCAGACATTTTAGATGTCGGCTTCAATGTGGCCTTACAGTCAGGAACCCAGAAGGCACTTGTGAAGGGCACGCGGGGAACAAGCCAGGACCCAGCCTCTTGCCCTGCGGACCCCGTGGTCATGGTACAATCTAGCATTTAAATCTCCATCTCCAAGGGCTCCTGTCATTGCAGGTGGGTTCATTTTCTGGCAACTAGTGCAAATGAGTCTAAACGGCACTCTCCAGTCTAAACGCTGCTTCCATTTCCATCCCCTCCAGGGACGGGCAGACTCTAAGATGGCCCCAAATGAGCCCTCCCTCTTGTAGTCATGCCTAGTGTGCTCCCCTGCCCTCGAGGGGGGTGCCATCTGTCACTTGCTTCTAACCAACAGAACACAGCAAAGGCGGTGGGATGTCACCTCTGTGAATAGATTGTATGCCATTTCGGCCACCTTCTTGCTGCCAACTCCTTCCCTCTCTCTCCTTCCCTTGCTGGTTTGCACGCAGCAAGTTACCACATTGGGAGGCCCATGTGGCCAGGGACAGGGGGTGGCCTCTGGCCCTCCGCCCAGTGACGTAAATCAAGCTGGACAATCACAAGTGAGAGCGGAAGTGGGTCCTTCCCCAGGCGAGCTTCAAGATGAAACTGAAGCCCCAAGACACCTTGAAGGCAGCCTGATGACAGGCCCTGAGATGGTGACCCAGCTGGCCGTGCCTGGAGCCCTGACCCACAGACGCTGTGAGCTGGTCAGTGTGTGTTGTATCAAGCTGCTAGGTTTGTGGGAGTCTGTCATGCTGCAAAAGATAACAGATGCACCTCGGAACCCCACAAAACCCCCACATGCGGGAGAGAAAGTTGGACCTTTAAGTGACTCCCCTCAAGTCATACAATAACAAGTCAGGACGCAAGGGTCAGTATTGTGGAGTTTTCATCCTACCCAGCTGCCTCCTGCTGAGCTTCCCAAGGCTGGAAGCAAGAGGTTCCCTCCCAGGGCCTGGCAGATGGGTTCTGTGGTAGCCAAGTCAGGCAGCAAGAGCAGCCAAAGAGTTGACAAACCCATTGCCAACTAAAGATTCCCAGGACCTGCCCTGCAACCAGGGCTTTCTGGACCTCACTCCCCACCAATACCCCTCCCCACCCAGGGCCCAGTCACCTTCTCCTGGGGGGTGAGGCTCAGCCTGCTGCTCACACTTACGCAAAACAGCTGGGACAGCGATGGCTCGGTCATGCAGGCTGCGCCCGAGCAGACAGAGGTTGGGGGTGCTTCATGGCCAAGGGCATCAGTTCCTGCCAGAGAAGAGAGAGGAAGATCTGTGAGAGCTGGAGAGGGAGGGCGAGAGCACAGACAGACTCCGAGACTGAGTGGACATTCCCCAAAGGGACTTGTCTGTTGGCTTCCGTGGCTGCCTCAGTCTCTGAGGCCCCCAGCCTAGGAACCTGAAGACAGGCTTGTAAGGCCACATCCCGTCCTGTCCTTGATTCCTTCCCTCAGTGCCATTGTGTGGAACCCTCGGCCCAACACAGTAGCAGGATGGCAGGCACGAGCCTCTGCCTATTCTGGGAAGCGAGGCTTAAGGTGGGGAAAGGGGTCTAGCTACTTCTATCACACTCTCCTGGAGAATTCTGGCCTGTCCCCTGATGAATGTGTCCTTGTTGCCTACGTGGCTGATTCTTTTCTCTATGGCCACACGTACCTCTTTCCCATTCCCTCCCCATCCTTCCCTGGGCCTGTCCATACTCCCAGTGCCCACAGCCGCACACTCCTGTCCCTCACTCCAAAATCCCAACCTGCTTCAGGACAACATGCCAACAGGACAATTGGGTCACACGCTCATGCTGGCGTGCTGATGGAGGAGGGGGTGGCGAGGTCCTACCAGGACATTTACGAATCCAGTATAAGCTAATCCCTGGGGTCCCTTAAAATGAAAATTCTTTAAATATCCACTCGACATGATTTCCAGGAGAGTCTGGGCATAGACTGGGAAGAGAAGAGTGGGAAGGAGGACACTCTCCAGTGAGGCTTCCCTCGGCTCATTGTCCTGAGAGGGTAAGGCCCCGCTGGGGGTCTTGTACTGGGAAGGGAACCCAACTGATAACTGGATCCCCAGAGCCACCTTCCACAGGGATGGGCTGACCAGCTCGGGGCTCTCCGCGGCAGCCACAAGCTGGAGGTCAAGGGCACACTAATGTCTCAAGGCCTGAATCTCATCTGAGTTCAGGCCTCAGGAGCAGAACTCTGGGAGAAGCTGAGAAGGCCCACGTTCACCCACAGATTTGGCCCAGGCCTACCTTCACGTCTCCTCCAGATCTAGGCCTTCCTGCCTATGATCGGCCCGGGATGTTGTGGGCACTCAGGCTTTCTTTTCTCAAAGATGTTCTTATTCTCGTTAAAATGGCAGTCATGGGTAGCTGGATGTCCAAGGAGATGTTTCCTATCTAAGTTGGGTTTTTTTTTAAGATTTTATTTATTTATTTTACAGACAGAGATCACAAGTAGGCAGAGAGGCAGGCGGCTGTGGGTGGGGGGGTTCCTGGGGAAGCAGGCTCCCCGCTCAACAGCGAGCCCGACGCAGAGCTCGATCCCAGGACCCTGAGATCATAACCCAAGCTGAAGGCAGAGGCTTAACCTACTGAGCCACCCAGGCGCCCCTCCTAGCTAACTTTTGACTGAGATGTCAACTGATAGAAACAAGAGGACGCCCGTGAGTTTGGGGCAGGTCCCTCTTCCCCAGCCCCGTGCAGGGGAACACACACGGGAATGTCAATAGTCTATTTCAGGATCCAGGAGCCTTTCTCCCACTTTGAAAAATACAGATGGGTCACAAATTTGTGAAGATATAGTGTGGAAGATTTCCTTGGCAAGTTGCTGCTGAACCATGAATCCCTTACCTGAGCCCACAAGGGCGGCAGGCCCGGGGCTGGCGGGGGCTGGCTCTCCTGAGTCCTGTCCAGGAGCGCCCCCCGGAGGCGTGAGAAGAACTGCGGCTGGACATCCAGGTGCACGGGGGCTGAGCAAGAAGTTGCAAGAGATGCCTGGACAGGGGCTGATGTGTCTGCCTGGGGTAAGGGAGCTGAAGGAGAGAGGGGCCCAGCAGGCAACCTCCAAAGAGCCCACATACACAAAAAATCTACAAAATCAAGAGCCCCTTTGAAGCTTCCCCTGCTCTCTGACCGGTAAGAATTCCCCATTTCAATGTGGCAGCTCGTGAAACAGACCCTCTTGGGGGGGCGGGGGAAGGAAGGGAAGAGTTGGGGAAGTACAGACAGCAGAGGGACACGGCCCACCGCCCCTGCAGCTTCCAACCCGAAGCAGATCCAAACTGGCCCAAAGGAGAACACGTTGTCAGTGATCCAACAATTCCAACTTCTACGTTGAGATTGTAGCTGTAGCTGAGTGGTACCACAGGCTATCACCTAAGAGTGGGTGACAAGCAATGGGACTGGCCCACGTTTTTATCCAGAGGCAAGAGAAAATTTCTTCCATGGAATACATTCTTTTTTTCTTTTTTTAAGATTTTATTTATTTATTTAACAGAGAGAGATCACAAGTAGGCAGAAAGGCAGGCAGAGAGAGAGAGTGGACAGGAAGCAGGCTCCCTGCTGAGCAGAGAGCCCGATGCAGGGCTCGATCCCAGGGCTCTGGGATCATGACCTGAGCTGAAGGCAGAGGCTTCAACCCACTGAGCCACCCAGGTGCCCCCACGGAATACATTCTAAAGTAAAGGGATGCTCAAAGAAAAAAAAAAAAAAAAGGAAGGAAAGAAAGAAAGAAAGAAAGAAAGATAGATGTTTCTTGAGCACAAATCATACATTATGCTCGTTTAACCTCCCAGCTACTGAGAGAAAAATGATCCGTGGAAATGGAAGGACTCTAAGAGATCTGGCCCAGTATCTATTTCCTAGATGAAGAAACCAAATCAAAGAGGACATGTGACTGGCTTCACCACACACAGCAAGATAGAGATGGAGCAGCAGCATAGCCAGGCCGGCCATGAGGCTGCAGTCTCTCCCACACTTACTTCACCAGGAGCTAAGATGGTTGAAGTAGGGTCTTCCAAATTATCTTGACAGTAACAATCACCCAAGTCAGGTGTCAAAAAACAGACTCCAGACCCACCAAGGCAGCATCTCCAGAGGAGGGGCCCAGGAATCTGTGTTTTTAACGGGCTTGCATCTCCCCATCTGGCCCCTTTTAGAGATGAGGTAGGAATGAAAGTCTTTGGGAGGATTTCAGGCTGCAGGCAGCAGGGGGCGGGAAGGGGGGTGTAGGTGACCTTGCAGAGCTGGGGCATCATCTGCTGCAGTCCAGGAAACCGGCTCTGGACCATGTCCTTGAGGATAGTGGGCCAGAAGGAGGAGGAAAGGGGGAGTACAGGAGAGCTATAGGAACATGGCAACCCCAGGGAGGGGGTGGGGCCCCCCCAAGAGGTCAGTGATGGGGAATCTTAAAGGCCATTCTTCCTGGAGAGGCTTGTGGGGGGGAGGGGCTGCAGAATGAAAGGCCACCCAGAGAGGATGTACTGGGAAGTGAGGGTCCCACTCCCCACCCCCCCAAGGCCAGGGGTCTGTGACTTCAGCTCACTGAGGCAGAGTCACCTGCTCAATGCTTGAGCGACGTGGGCAGGCAAGGCAGCCACAGCTGGCCACAGAACGTGTAATTAACGACCGGCTGCCCCCTGTTCCCCGCTCAGCCCCCTGAGGAGCACAAGTTAATTGAGTGGGGCCTAAGCACCTCTGATCTCAATTACTTCTGAGGCAATTAAGGCTTCTGCAATCATTTATTAACTCGTGAAATTGACACAGCAGGTTAGCCCCCGGGGAGACAGGGGACAGGTTTTCTTGTCTGTTACCAGTCTTCCTAGACTGCAGTCCTCAGGCCAGGTCCGCAGAGGGGAGGGGTGGGGAGGAAGGGGTTGCTATGCCTTTGTGCTTGTGGCCCTCACCAAGCCCATATCGCCAGGAGGAGGGCGTGAAGAACGGCAGCCAGATGGGTTCCTTTGTCCCCGCGGGCGACGACAGCAGCGGAGACACATGGGCTGGGTGAGAAGAGGTCTTTTCAGGACATATGAGGAATCCTTGCAAATCATCAAGAGAAAGAAGGGAGACTTGACGTCCTAAGGGGCAATGAGGCTACCAAGAAAGTGAAGAGATGCCCACACTCATGGCTAATCTGGGGAATGCGAACTGACACCACGGTGGTCTCTTACTTTATATTGGTAGGACTGGCAAAAATCAGAAAACAGGCTTGTCAACGTGGGGGATCTGGTGGAGGTAGGAAAAGAATAAATGAAACAAGATGGGATCAGGAGGGAGACAAACCATAAAAGACTCTTAATCTCACAAAACAAACTGAGGGTTGCGGGGAGGGGGGTGTCGGGAGAGGGTGGTGGGGTTATGGACATTGGGGAGGGTATGTGCTATGGTGAGTGCTGTGAAGTGTGTAAACCTTGCGATTCACAGACCTGTACCCCTGGGGCTAATAATACATTATATGTTTATTAAAAAATTAAAAAATAAAAAAAAAAGAAAATGGACTTGTGCCCAGGGCGGGAGTGGCCGTAGGAATTTAGGGGCAGGGCTGGTGGGGGTGTAGCCAGAGCAGCCCCTGGAGGGAGAGACCCATGTCCCTTAGCCATGGTAAGTCCGCACGAGAAGCAATTCTGCTCCTGAGTCTATGTCCCCAAACCTTCTCAACGCAATATAAGGGGTCACATGTGAAAGATGTACATTGCTATGTTGTTTATGGTGCAGGGAATTAGAAGCAAGCTCAAGGGATCATCACAGGGGACTGGGGGAGTCATGTCAGGCAGATGCCACCTCGCAGGGTAACACAGCTGTTGAAAGCACTGGGCCAGACAGACCAGAAAAACAGTGGTAAATCTTAGCATGGCACTTAGTGAAAAAACAAACAAACAACAAAAAGCCAAAACAAACAAAGTGAGCTAATACTGTCTCCATAAATTTAAAATGCAAGTGTACAGATCAACAATTCCCATTTTCAAGAACACAACCCAAAAAATGGGTCACACTGAATGTTAGAAAGGCTGTCTGTGGAAGGAAGGGAACGAGATGGGGAGAAGCAAAGCGAAAAGCATACAAAGCGTGAGAGGAGCCTGGCATAGACCTGTGATAATCAGCTACAATGTGCGGAATATGTTAACTTCACCTTCTGCCCCTGAGGTCCAACTTGAACAAAGAGAAAAGAAAGCAAGGGGCTGTTACCACCTCCGGGAAGCCTTCCACGATGCACTTAATGCTGCACATGTTTGTTGAGCCTTCCTCTCTGT